CTGTTTCGTTCGCGTCGCCATGGTTCAGCGCGTCGTCGATCGCACGGTCGAGAGCTAGATGGGACGTCGAGGCAAAAGCGTTGGCCATGTCATAGAAGACCTCCACCCAGCTATCCCCCCTTTTTCCGAGCCTCTCCTGCATCGTCCTCATCATCATGATAGATTGCTCTCTTCGTCGTCCGTGTTTGAACCCAGTCGAATTGTGCGAGCTCGGAAGCCGATGTTTACGGCAGAGATTGTAATGGAAGGTCTTGCCAATGGGGTCCAGCAGATGGATCACTCGCTCCGCCTGGCACTTAAGCTTCCCGTTGCCCTTGGGGACCCTGACTGCCTCACTGATGTGCCAGAGGTGGGGGGTCTCCAAGACTCCACGGATACAGTAAAACAACTGCTGCACTCTTTGCGCAAAAGCTCCTGGTCGGACCAAGCCTAGTTCACGGTCCCGTTGAGTGAGAGCTAGAAGACACACCTCGCGAGGGAGAGCCCAATGAGGAATATGTTTCCTGGCCTTGGCTTTGAGGAGGATGAAGATGGTGGCCTGCATGTCTTCAGCGGCGGCGGTGGCCTGCTGGGCCGTGAGCTCCACTCTCGGTGCGACCCCGCCAACTATCAGGCTCTGGCCGGCTGTCGGGAAGGCCGGGGACGCCGGGCCAGTCAAGGACTGATCTCTGTCCAGATGTGCCATGCGTTCTGCGCGTGCTGCATCATCATGTGGTATATTTCGTGCAACTTCGTGTGCATGTATATGTTCGTGGCGTGTTCCTCTGAAGACCTCCTGAGCCTGCAATCCTCCTTTAGACCCCTCCTGCCCCATGTGCTGTACCCATTCCGCGCGCGCGGGTGGCGCTATACTTCTGAGGAGAAAGTTACGCTTCTTGGGCCCGAGATTCGTGCACGCGATGTTTCGCCCAATCTTCCAGACCAGATCCCATGGGTGATATCGTTCGGCCCCCTGGAGTTCCTGAACCCAGAGATCCCGTGCCCGTCGGAAGTCTCGTCGTCCGAGTCCTCGAAGTCTCCGAACCAGCCCCTGGAATTCACGTTCTAGAGCACTACGGCCGTAGTCAGCATCATTGCGTTTGTCCCACAGAAAACTGCGAATCTCTGTGTACCTGGTGTGCACTGCTTGTGTGTCAGCTGCCTGTGGCCACGGTCGAAAGGCCTGTGGCGCCCTCTCAAAGAGACGAAGAGCCTGCTCTTGCAGTTGTTGCGTTAGAAAGTGTCAACATTCGTCTACTTGGCCGCTAACGACATACGATCGGAACCTGTCTATCACCGTCTCCTGAGATGCCCAGTCCTCTAATGCCGCACAGAACTGCTCGTCAATCGACTGTCCAGCGAACGCAGTACGTTGCGGTGGGCGACTGCGTTGACACCAGCTCTGCCTGAGCTTATCCATATCCCAGCGTGGGCTCTCCTTGACATATTCCTCCAACCAGTGCTGATACTGCAAGTCCAAGATGACGGGGTAGTGATCGACATTGCGGCTGAGTGACCGAGCTGTCTTCGTGAGCTGTAATTTGAATCCAGTGCGATACCAGACTTCCACCTTCAGAATATGTCCCAGCATCGTCTTGGGTATACCAATGTAATCTACTCGAGTCTTACAGCTGCCATTGCCTGAAAAGACCGTATTCCCAGCTCCTTCCGCCCGATGTGTATTGGCCAGTGCCATGTGGTGGGTATTAAGGATGCGTCGCCATATCAGGGTCGTCGCTGATTCTGGGCTGGGATTGTGGGTACCAACTGCATCACCGTCTCTCATACCATACAGTTCGTGTCCGATCTTGCTGTAGCCGCAATGGAAGTTGCCATCCATAAGAAGAGTTGGCGTGCATCTCGCTGGTAACTCAGCAAAAAGATCTTCCACCCACTGCAGCAATGTATCTCGCCATCGCCTGCTGTGATCGTCATGGGCTTCTAGCATACAGTAAAGCGTGATGAAACATATATCATAATATGTGCGCCACTTGTAGCGTACTGCACCTTCCCGCCCTCGAAGGCCCTTGGGAGGTTCCCAACGTTGAATACGTCTATGTTCTGGAAAACACTTGTGAGCGACCGCCAGCATGCACCCCGCTGATCTCGAGGTGCCCGTCTGCTTCGCGACCCTCTTGGTCGGTCCTCTGCGCGCCCCTGCTGGCCATTGCCACACTGTCCAGCGGCCCACTCTCTTGCTGGTGAAGGTGGGTGAGCTGTCGTGGGGGGCTGTTTCTGCGTCTGGCAGGTGCCAGTAAGCGATACCACGTGCGCGGTCTCGAAGAAGTGTAGAACATCCACAAGCGCCCGACGGCGAGCGCCCGACCCGAACTGACTGCAAACCTCCCACCGAGGGTCCTCGTCTCACTTGGAGGGCCCTCGACCACGGCGCGGAGTTCCACATCCTCCGCCGTTCCACCCTCGCCCCGCCGAGTCTGCCCAAGCCACTGGGCGCCTCGCCCGCAAATACCCGACGCCGCTGCAATAACTTTTTCTTGTCGCACCCCGGGGCTTGTTTTAGGGCGGGCCAGGCGTTTCGCCTGCGATTCCTCACCACCTATGACCCTGAAGCCTAACACGTGGCTTGAGGGCGGGTGGTTTCCAACATGCGGCTCTCGCCTTAGTGCAGCGCAGATTCTTTGTAACCTGCTGCATAAGTTTCACGGGTGGGGGGTGGATCGTTTTCAACATGTGGCTCTCGTGTTAACGCCGCGCACATTCGTTTCAACATGTTGCAGAACTTCGCGGGTGGTGGTCGGCTCCTTTTCAAAACGTGGCTCTCGCCCATGCGCCGCGTGCATTCCTTTCAACAAACTGACAGTGTGTCACGAATTGAGGGTGCGCGCTTTCCAAAATGTGGCTCTCACCTTAGCGCCGCGCGGATTCGTTTTAACTCTATTCGATTCTTGAACTTTGCAAGTGGTTCAAAGGTTCCCCTGATCAACGTACCAGAAACGGTGTGTTGGACAGATGTTGGATTACGATGTTGCCACATGTATGTTGGTTCGCGGTGTTGAAGTCCCAAGAGTAGCCGTCTAGCACGGTTCAAGATCGTCAAGACGCAACAGTCAGGTTGATCCGTGGCGTTGGAGTCCAGAGAATAATGCTTTTGGTCTGCTTCAGGGTCTTCAAACTGTTGTCTTCCAGCGAGACAGTTCCTCCAATGGGATGAACCGTTGTGGGGCCTATGAAGAGGGAGTTTGGAGAGAAGGTTTATTCCAACATCGTTAGTGGCTCTTGGGCATGCACTGGCTCTCCTCCTCCTCCTCCTCCTCCTCTCCCCTCGGCCGCGGGGCGCCCTAATCGCATGGCCCCGCTCCAGCCAACGAGGTCACCGAAAGGAGGGCCTCGTCTTCTGGCTTAACACCTTTTTCTGACGTCTTACTTGCCCGACACATCGTAAACAAGTTGGCCTTGTGGGCTGGTGATGTGAAGATCCGGGTCAAGCAGGGGCTCCATTGGTGCGATGACGAGTTCAGGGAAGACAGGGACAAGCTGAGCCAGGATGTCCAGCGCCAGTGTGCACGAGCTCGTCAGCTCAAGCCGAAGAGATTCGGTGTATGCTCCGACTTTCGATGCGTATAGTTTGAACAGCACATGCTTGGGGTTGCTGGACATGTGATCAGAGCTGCTTGTCATCGAACCCAGATCAGTTATGAAGTTCGTTGTACTCTGATCGAACATATTGTAGCACTATGTTCAAGCATTCGGACAGTCGTAGAACATTCGATGTCGGGAAAGTTGCCTTGGAAGTGGCAACAATGCATGTGACCGCACTTGTTCAGCCGCCCTGGCATCGATTCGCCCTGCGGTGCGGCGAACATTAAATACGGTTGAACCCTACTGGCGCGAGATCATCGACCTCTCCATCAAAGCGTTGGCTTGCGACGTGGCCCACGCGTAGTCGTTATTGGCGTAGCAATGGTAGGATTTTGTGCGACAGCTTTCGCGTTCACTCTGTCAACTTTCTTCCCTGGCCCCCGGGACGGGCAGGCAACATCACTCATAGCTATCTCGGTTCATCTGCATCCGGCTCACGTGCGGGCAGAGCGCGGGCTCGTAGCAGCATGTGTTCAAATCACGGTGCTCTCCAGCATGGGCCAGACACATACAGTAAAACGAACCTTTCATGACTGACTATCTCTTCGTAAAGGTTGTAGTGCAAATGGCTCTTACGACATCTATCATGCGCAAGGGGGCGTGCACCCCCGTCGCTGGAACGGACGCCACTCAGATCGCGCAGCCTCCTCCGTTTCATCTTCCTCCTCCTCTTCCTCCTCTTCCTCCTCCTCCTCCTTGGCGGTAGCGACGGCGACGACTGCGGCGGTTACGGCGACGGCGATGACAACACCAATGACGACAACGGCGACGACGTCGATGACAGTACCGTACTCTCACTCCAGGAGCGGTGTGCAATTTGTTACCTTCTCGGTGCCTCGTACGTCGCGGCTGGCAGTGTGGCCAGCCTCGGAGCACATAAGATAACATGCGACGTGCTCTGAGTACAGTCGGGGCCTTGACCTAAGGAACCCTAAATAAGGAACGAGGCCCCTTTCTCCCATAAGTTGAACTTCGATTTCCCATGGGAAACGTCAGGAAAACAGAAGTCAAACTGCAGAACAATCAAGGAACACCGAGCCCCTCCACAACGAAAAAGGTTCCTTCTTCAGGGCCCCGACTGTACTGCCGAAGTGACGAGCCTGGCCTTCGGGCCATACTTCGGAGCTCTGGCGGCCACTCGGGACGACCCGAGCAACCGCCTGGAGCCGACAAAACCTCTGGGGCTCTAGGGGTGCGTCGGGCGGGCGCCGTGGGAGAGGCCGACGTCGACGACGACGACGACGACGACGACGACGACGACGACGACGACGACGACGACGACGATGACGACGACGAGGACGACGACGCCGACGCCGACGACGACGACGACGACGACGACGACGACGACTGCGGCGACGACGTCGACGACGACGGCGCCGACGGCGGCGGCGACGGCGAGGACGACGAGGGCCCGCGGGCGCCTCATCGGAGTCGGTGGAGGCCCCCGGGGCGGCGCAGCAGCCGCCCAGGAGCCCGGGCCCTGGGCCCTCCTCGAAGCCGGTGCCCAGAACGAGCTCCGCGCTCGCGATGGGGCCTCGGAGGCCGGCAACGGCGGCGGCGGCAGCAGGCGGCGACGACGGCGGCAGGCGGCGGCGGCGGCGGCGGCGGCGGCGACGGTGGCGATGAGGGCGGCGGCGCGGGCGGCGGCGACGGCAGCGCCGACGACGGCGGCGGCGGCGACGGCAACGAAGACGACGGCGGCGACTGCGGCGGCGGCGAAGTCGGCGGCGGCCTGTCGGGGTGCTCTGGCCCTTCTTGGGCGTCTTCGGTCCGTTCTGGGCCTCTGGGGGCCTCCGGGGGCCTCTGCGGGGGAGTGCCGGGGTCCGCCAGAGGCCTCTGGAGAGCCCCAGGGGGGCTCCGAGGGCCCAGGAGGATGGAGGAGGAGGGGGAGGGGGGGAAGGAGGCAGCGAGGGGCAGGGAGGAGGAGGGATGGGGGAGGGGGGAAGGAGGAGGAGGGGGAGGGGCAGGGAGGAGGAGGGAGGGGGAGGGGGGAAGGCGGATGAGGGGGAGGGGCAGGGAGGAGGAGGGAGGGAGGGGCAGGGAGGATGGAGGATGAGGGGGAGGGGGGGAAAGGACGCAGCGAGGGGCGGGGAGGAGGAGGGAGGGAGGGAGAGCCTCGGCGAGCGGACCCAGGGGCGGTCCTCACTGAGTGACTTTTTTCCTCGCGCCACGCTCCGCTCCATGATTCTGTAGCGGCCGCCTGACCGCCAGACAGGCCCAGTTCCTTCGAACATGTCAGCCAGCGTGGACCCCACACAGTGTGTCTTTCTACGCGCACCTGTTGTGCAATCCAAGCGGAGCAACCTATGTGGGTGCAACGTACGTGGTGCACTAGCAGTTGTGCAAGAGGTGTTCTGCAATATAGGTTGTGCAATCCATGTTGTGCAATCTTTGTGCGTGCAATATATGTGGTGCTTTCTATGTGGCGCAGTATATGTGGAGCAATATATGGTGTGCGCAATCTATGTGGTGCAAGCTATGTGGTGCAATCAATGTGGTGCGCGAAGTATGTGGCGTAGTCGACGGGGTACAGTGTATGTGGTGCACTGGCAATACGAATCGTGCAACTCATGCGGCGCAATCGACGTGGTGCAGTCGATGTGGTGCCGTGTAATCGATGTGGTGCACTCTATGTGGTGCACATTATGTTGTACAACCAGCGTGGTGCAATCCGCGTGGTGCCATGCATGTTGTGCAGTCTATGTGGCGCAACTTGCGTGGCGCAATTGATTTTGACATCCTCGCGCGTGGCCGCCCCCCATGCTCGCGCAAACATCCCACCCACCCACCCGCAACCTGGTTTGCAGAGTCCATGTGGCGGCGAAGTTCTGTTCGCAGTGAGTTGACGGCTCCACTGCTCGCGCAGTCAGCCCACCCACCCACCCACCCACCCACCTGCACTTGCGATTGCGATGACTGCTTGGCGCTGACTGGCGCACCGTTGCGACCGCGCTAGCGCGCGCGGGCTCGCGCGCAGAGCGGCCAGCTAATCTGGCGCTAGCGACGCTGGTGACGACGATGACGATGACGACGGCAAGGCCAATGACGGCGTCGATGCTGATCACGCCGATGACGATGATGGTGTTCACGTGTCGGTGATGAAGGTTTTGGGAAGGATTCCGACATGCCAAGCTGGCATGCAGGCCCAGTTACGGGCGGCGACAGGGCGGCGACGGCGACAACATAGCCGCCAGACCGACAGGCAGGCCCAGTTTTTTAAAGAGAAGAAATACTCCTGAGTGCAAACACTGTTTTGAGAAACTTGCGACTACCCGTTTCAGCACTCGCCATCGCGATTGAGATCGACTTCAAAATCACGGTTCGGGGCATGCCCGCGCCGGAGAAGCTGGTGCCGTGGACGATCGGGGTAGTAGACTCTCAAGCGTCAGGCGACGTTCATTTCAGTAGTACGTCCAACCGTCGCTGTAGTAGATTGACAAGGTGATCTAGATGGTCGTGCCATGGAGATCATCGCGAAAGTGTTGAGCACTGTGACCATGACCAGGCTGTCATCAAGCGGCATGGCAGCTGGAACAAACCAATGTGGTCGGAAACGTCGTGCTGGATAGAGGCCATGCGTGCTCTTGCTATTGACGCTGGAAGCCGTGTACAGGTAGGATTTCGCACTGAAGCGGAGCTGCCGGCTGAGCATTTGGCCACAAACGCCGAGGCCGGGGAGGCCGGAAACGGGATTGGAGGACGGAGTGGTTCTTGCCGTCGGTCGGACACTGTCCGAGGGAGGCAGGAGAAGGAGGAGGGAGCAGACAGAGAGAGCCCGACCTCTCACAGGGCCCCCGAGCGCTGGAGGACAAGGACCCGGACGTCCGCGGCCTCCGACAGGCGCCGCGACGGGCCCGCCGGCCGCCACCGCATTTGGAGAACGGATTGGCGGAGGCCGTTCGGCGGATTGTGGTTTGGAGCCCTTCCGCCGTGCCGTCGCGGCCGCCGCCGTGGCAATCTGCACCGCCGCACGGCGCTGGTGCTCACTGCAGCAGCGTGCCCGGCCCGGCTTGGTCGGTGGAGTCGCTTGGGTGCTCTTCCTGCTCCCTCTCCTGCACCTTCCCCTCGCTCCTCCTCCCCCTTCCTCCTCTTCCTTCTTTTCCGGCCCTCCTTCCTCTTCTTCTTCCTCCTCCTCCTCTTCCCCCGCCCCCTGCTCTTCCTCCTCCTTCTCCTCCCTGGCCTCCCCCTGTTCCACCACCTCCTCCTTCTTCTTCCTCCGCTTCCTCCGCTTCCTCCTGTACCCGCCTCCTCCTCTCATCGTCCTCAACCTCATCCTCATCCTCCTCCTCCTCATCCTCCTTCTTCCTCCGCTTCCTCCTGTACCCGCCTCATCCCTTCGCTTCACCACCCCTCCTCTTCCCCAGCCCCCGGCATTTACTCCTCCTTCTCCTCCCCGGCCTCCCCCTATTCCACCTCCTCCTCCTTCTTCCTCCGCTTCCTCCTGTACCCGCCACATCCCTTCGCTTCACCCCTCCTCTTCCTTTTCCACCCCTCCACTCTTCGTCGTGCTCCACCTCGCGCGCCTTGGGTCAATATCCTTCCCTTCCCCCTGGCTCCATCCTCCTCCTCCTCCTCATCCTCATCGTCCTCAACCTCATCCTCATCCTCATCCTCGTCGTCCTCGTCCTCGTCCTCGTCCTCGTCCTCGTCCTTGTCCTCCTCCTCCTCCTCCTCCTCCTCCTCCTCCTCCTCCTCCTCCTCCTCCTCCTCCCCCTCAGCATCAGCATCAGCATCAGCATCAGCATCAGCATCAGCATCAGCATCATCAACATTAGCATCAGCTTCATCATCATCAGCATCAGCATCAGCATCAGCATCATCATCATCATCATCATCATCATCATCATCATTATCATCATCATCGTCGTCATCAGCATCGTCATCGCCATCGTCATCATCATCAGCAGCATCATCATCAGCACCATCATCATCGTCAGCATCACCATCCTCATTAACACCATCATCAGCAGCATCATCATACCCATAATCATACCCATCATCACATCACCACCATCATCATCATGCTACTGCTGCTGCTCATTGTCCTCATCCTCCTCCTGCTGCTATTCTGGCTTCTCCTTCCACTCGCTCCCCTGCTCCGACATTACCTCCACCATCCCTCTTTCTTCTTCTGCTTCCTATGTGTACTGATCCTCGTTCTCCTTGAACTATTCTTCCTCCTGGTCCTCTAATCCTCCCCTCCCCCTCCCCCTTCAGACCCCTCCTTTTCCGACAGCTCACCGCACCTTCGTGTATCGCGCGCGTCGGGTCCAAGTCCAGCATCACGACGCCACAGTTCGTCATCTTCCTGCTGCCCGCTCTCCGGCAGAACTCGGGATCCGTCCGCCTGAAGTCGTCGCTCAGGAATCTTCTCAGAACCTCCCTTCTCCATTTGCGGCCGTCCTCACCGTCCTCCTGCCCATCCTCTTCCTCCCACTACTTCTCTCCTCACTGGCTCCATCTCATTCTCCCCCTTTCACCACTCTCCTTTTCCAGGTAATCCTCCTCCTCCTCCTCCTCTTCTCCTGAGTCCGTTTCTCTCTCCCTCCCCCCCCCTCTCCCTCCTGCAACAGCTCCTTCTCATCGCCATCCACCTCTTACTCCCCGCCTGAAAGCGTCAGCAGAAAAGTAGGAACGCCCACACACACACAAACACACACACACACACACACACACACGCACACACACATCCACACCCACACCCACACACCCACACCCATTCCCAGTCCTCGAATTCCTCCTCCTCCTCCTCCTCGTCCTCCTCCTCCAAATCATCTGTTTTCTTTTTCTCCCAATCAGATTAGCAGTCTTCCCCAGAACCTCGCGAAAGAACATCGAGTGGCCCACGACAATGATGGTGCGGTGCGGCGAGAAGAGGAGCTGCGACATGAACTCGTGGAGGCGTTCATCCAGCTGAGCAGACGTCTCTGCGCCATCGACCCACCAGCAGTCCTGAGGGAAGAAGGAGGATGAGGAGGAGCTGGAGGGAGGAGGAGGAAGAGGAGGGAGGATAGAGGAGGGAGGAGGAGCAGCATGGGGAAGATGAGGGGGATGATGACATATTGTTCCTGCTGATGATGGTTATGAAAATGATCATGGTGACGATTATGGTGCAAATGCTGATGGTGAAGACGATGGCGATACGTATGGCTACGATGGTGATGCTGATGCTGATTATCATGACAATGATGATGACGATGATGATGCTGATGATGGTGACGATGATGTTGATGATAGACGTGATAACGATGCTGCTGATGATGATGATGATGATGATAACGCTGATGATGATGCTGATGATTAGTATTCGCATTACTCTGATGAGGAGGGTGAGGAATATAAAGCTGTTGATGATGCTGGTGATGCTACTGCTGCTGCTGAGGATGATGACGAGGATGCCGATGATTGAAATGCTGATGATGATGATGCTGATGTTGCTGATGATGCTGATGACGATGACGATGCTGCTGATGATGATGATGATGCTGCTGAGTATGATGATGATGAACCTGATGATGATGCTGGAGATTAATAGGATGATGGGGATGATGAGGATGATGATGATGATGATGCTGATGATGATGATGCTGATGATGATGCTGATCATGATGATGATGATGACGCTAGTGATAGTGATGATGATGCTGCTGATGGTGATGGTGTGGTGCTGATACTGATGCTCATGGTGTTGCTTATGCTGATACTGGTGCTGATGATGATGCTGATGATGATGCTGATGATGACGATAAGGCTGATGATGATGGTGATGATGATGCTGATGATGGTGATGATGATGATGATGCTAATAAGGCTGGTACTGATGATGACGAGGATGAGGAGACACTGGAAGCCGAGGAGGAGAAGCGAAGATGTGGGGTAGAGAGGAACAGAGAGGCGACGAAGACGGAGGGATTGTCGGGAGGCGTGGAGGAGGAGGAAGAGGGAGAGGAAAAGGAGGAGGATGAGGTTGAAGAATATGGCAAATGAAAAGGAGAGGAAGGACGAGGGAGACGAGGAAGAACAGGGAGAAGGCAGGAGGGAGGATGAGGGATGCACATGCTGAGAGAGGGAGGGAGGGAGGATGGGGAGGGAGGATGCGGGAGGAGGGACAGTGTTTGTGTGTGGGATGAGGGTCAAGGGCATAGAGAGAAGAGGGAATGGGGGAACTAAGGATGAGGGTGGAGGAGGAGGACGAGGTGGAGGAGAAGGAGGAGGAGGAGGAGGAGGGGGAGGAGGGAGAAGGAGAAGGATCGGAAGAATGAGGAGGGATGGAATCAGAGGAAGAGAGAGGTAGATGAGGAGGGATGATCGGGAGGTGGAGAAGGAAGGAACATTGGAGGAGGGAGGAGGAGGAAGGAGGAGGAGGAGAAGGATGATGATGATGAGGAGGAGGAGGAGCAGGAGCAGAGGGAGGAGGGCCGTCCCCAGTCCTGCACCGCCTGCCACGATCTGAACCTGAACCTCCTCAAGGGAAACCTCTCGGTGGTGGCAGGCCCCATTGGGGTGCGAATTGCAGGTTTGGCAATTGTTGGATGGGTCTTCAGCGTCGCGATTCTAATGTGGGGAGTCTACAATTTCGCGCGCTGGTGGACAGGCCTTGCTGCAGATCTAACTCAGCGTGTTGTTGGACGCGCCGGCAATGCAGAAGATACATATTCCGGCGTGTTAGTGAACACGCAGTGCACGTCGATTTCAAGGAAGAAGTATGTGCTACCGGCTCGTTTCTGTGGAGGCCGAAGGTTTCCCTACAGGAGGCTCAGGTTCCACAAGGAAGCTGGCATTCCTGCGTTAATTGTGAGCGTGGAAACGCAGACGAGCATGAGCGGAAGAGGGAAATTGAGGGCGAGGAGGCAAAGGGGACGGAAGAAAAGGAGAAGGCGACGATAATTCAGAGAATGCATGTGGGAAGAGTTGATCCGGGTGTAGCTTGGGATGCAGTCGAGAGTGGGACGAAAGCAGTGCATGAAGTGGCGGAGAAGCATCAGGAGGAGGGACAAAAGGAAGAGCAGCAAGGGAAGAAAGGGCTACGCCGCAAAGCTAGGAGCAAGGCTTGGTGGAAGGGTGCGCGAGCTAGAAAGCCAGCTTGTGAGTTGAGGGAAGAGCCGGAGGAGGCAGAGGCAGAGGACAGCAAACCAAATGACTGAATTCGCCTTCCAGACCACAGGCTACGAGGTGGAGCCGGTGGATCCGCCGTCACGGCCCGGCAAAGGGCAGAGAAGAAACTACTGGAACAGCTGGCGGCACTCCTGCAGGGGTTCAGCCGAGAGGTTGACGGCGAGAATGCCCAAGGCCAGGCTGGCGGAGGGAAGAAGGAGGAAACAATTAGGAATCAAGAAGTGGAGGCAAAGCGCGGGCAGCAGCAAGCGCAGCCAGATTCCAAAAGGAGCCAGAAAAATAGGGAAAGGCAGAGGAGGAGAAAAGAAGGGTCCGATTTGCTGAACGCATTGACGACCATAGCAGAGCGAGTCCAACGATCAGGTGACACGGGGACCCTGCTCCAAGGCTGAGGACGATCGTGGAGGCAGCCACGAAAGGTACCCTGGGAAGCAGCGGTGGCGACGGCGAGCTGAAGGGACCTGCGTCGCCTGCCCCTGCTGCAGGCAAGGGAGGGGCACGTGAAGGAGGAAGCAAGGGAGGAAGGAAAGGAGGAAGGGGCCAGGGAGGAGAGAAAGCAGGAGGCAGCGAAGGGAGCCAGAGAGGAGAGGAGGCGGCCGCGAGGGCCCGGACGCCGCCCCCCCCCACAGACCTGGGCGCAGTGGCTCGGGAGACGCGGCAGGGACAGAAGAGGATGAGGATGATGAGGATGAGGATAAGGGTGTGGGTGAGGATGAGCACAAGGGAGGTGATGATGATGATGATGATGATGATGATGATGATGATGAGGAGGAGGAGGAGGAGGAGGAGGAGGAGAAGGAGAAGGAGAAGGAGAAGGAGGAGGAGGAGGAGGAGGAGGAGGAGGAGGAGGAGGAGGAGGAGGGGGACGGCGGCGCGAGGCAGACCCGGTCTGCAGCTCCGGCCAGGAGACTGGCCGCCAGAGCCAGCCCGCGCGGCGCCGCAGGTCGAGAAGCTCAGGAAGCAGGGGCGCAAGACGGAGGTCACGAGGGTGAAGCCCCTCTTGGCCCACGGTGCTGTGCAGGTCGACGCCACGAAGATACCTGCGAATAGCTCCGGCATGAAGGAAAAGGGAGTCATTGTTCTTGGCTCGGGGCTGGCGAAAGGGGCAGGAGGAGGAGGAGGCGCAGAAGGGAGAAGAGGAGAAGTGGCTCAGGATCCTTGGGCCTGACGGGCAGCCGGAGTTGGCCAAGCTACGAGTGTCCCCGCTGGTGAGCGAGGCCGGTCTCTCGGACCTCGGGCAGTCCACCCAGGCCGCACGAGGGGAGCTAGGATTATGTCGGGCGTGTCCCCCTACAGGGGGATTTTCGACGAAAAATAAAACATACCCCAAAAATGCCCCAAGAAGGTCAAACAATACTCAAAAAGTAATCCCCAGACTAGTTTCGGATTATTTTTTGATTATTTTTTGGGTATTTTATTTTTCCTCGAAAATCCCTCTGTAGGGGGACAGGCCCGACTTAAAGCTAGGAGAACAATCGACTGGCCAGGAGGTCGAGGTCGGGGCGTTCAGAATCATGATGGCCAAAGAAGTAATTCATGGAAGGCAAGGCTTGGGAGGCAGCGGTGAGGAGGCCAGCGAACATCTTCCTCACGTACGCGAAGGACCTGAACGTTCTGCACACATACCGGTGGAATGCGCAGAATAAGCCTGGAAACCAAGAGACTGTGAGCATCGTGGGCTATGTCAAGGTGCCGAAGGATTCCGTTTCAGCGGTGTTGGCCACCTCGGGCCGCAGGGATATCTGCGTGGAGCGACTCAGCAGGTCAAGTGTCCGGCCCACGGTCGCATGGTGCTACCAGCAAGAGGAGGAAGCCAAGGAGTACCTACCTGCAGAGGGCGCTCAGAGGAGACAAAGGAGAAGGACTCGTCTCCGCATGGGAGGGTGCTCGTAGCTTGGAGTGCGCTTACCACACGGAGGGCACCTTGCAGTCAAGCGGAAGATCGAAGTCGTGGTGTCCGGGGCACCCAAGCCATGGGGTGCATCGGGAAGCACCCAATTCCTCAAAGATCAAGGCTGGGAGGAGGCAGAGGTGAAAGGGTACCCAGCAGGCAGGAGAGGGTGGGTGGTCTCCACCGTGCCCCCAGCAGGAGCGGCGACAGGCATCGGGTACACGCTGGCAGCTGCAGGGGCAAAGGTCATAACAGTTTCGCGCCTGGCGAAGACCCAGCAGTCGCGGGCGACGCAGTCCATCAAGTCCGCTGGAGGAGGTATCCGCAGTGACCTGCTGAAGAGGGCTGAGGACCCATCAGAGCAGCAGGCGGCGAGAGGAGCCCAGCAGAGGAAGGAGGAGGAAAGGAAGAAGGACGAGCGAAAGCCAGAGGAAGGAGGCAAGAGGAAGGAAAATATCATCACAGAGAAGCCGCAGGAGAAGAAGACTAAGACCGGGGACGCCTCCCATCCCATGGGTGGGACACTGTGGGACTTGGGTGGCAATAGGGACTGCGGAGTCCGTGCTTGCTGCGGAGCGTGGGGGATCATGAAAGGGCGCAATACAAAAGAAATGCGGCGAAAGATCCAGGAGGAGGCGGCTCGATTCCGATTTTCGGTGGCCCGTGAGGTCGCGAAGAGAGAAGTATTCAAGGATGCTTGGGTCGCAGACCCGTTGACGACGGCCGACATGTATGGGGAGACCGGTGCCCCACACGTGCAAGGCGTGGCTGGAGGCCATTGGGCGGCCCACGCGATGGGTCGACGAGTGCAGGCTCGCAGCCGTGGCCAACCGTATGGAGAGGAACATCACGGTGTTCTCGTGGGAGGACGGCAGGTGGAAAAAAGGCTGGGCCATCCCGCCCACCAGCGCCAAGATCGCGCAGAAAGCGCGGGGGCAATCCCCAGCCACCGTGTGCCTGAAGGACAAGCACTACTACGGCTTGCTCGTGGACGGCGAGGTGCCCAAAGATCGGTTCGGGCGAAATAGCACAGGGGGGGTTCAGAATCAGCTCACGTAGCTAATTTTCCCGGCGCCTCCCGGCGCTGGAGGCAGCTATGTATCCAGGAATGGGCCCCTCGGTGGGGCCGAAACCAGCTGCATGCAGCAAATTCGTACCCTCCCCCTTTCCCAATCCCCCCCTCGTCCGGCCCGAAAAGAATGGGGGGACCCCCTCCCCGTTCAGGGGAGGGCTTCCCCCGAATTGCGCGGCTGCGGCCGGATGCCCTCCGCCCCGCAGGACGGCATACTGTAGAGGAGCAGGCCCGACTTCACACTACCGTCGGGGTCGGCGATGGCCTCCCAATCAGGAGCTCCTGGAGCAGCGGCGGGTACAGTCGGGGCGTTGACCTAAGGAACCCTAAATAAGGAACGAGGCTCCTTTTTTCCAGAAGTTGAACTTCGATCTCCGATCGAAAACATAAGGGAAACCTGAGGCAAGCTGTGAAACACTGAACGCGGAGCCCCTCGCCAACGACAAGGGCTCCTTCTTCAGGGCCCCGACTGTACGCCAGCGCCGCGTGGGGCCGCGGCCCCGTCCGCGCCGCCGCCGGCAGCCCCCGCAGCGGGAGCAGCCACCAGCAGGAGCCCCGCCGCCCGCGCCCGCGGCGGGCTCGGAGGGCGGCCTGCCGCACGGGGCCGCGGCCTGCTCGTGGACAGCGAGGTGCCCACAGCGTGTGGCCCCCCCCCTCGCCTGCAGGCGAGGGCCTCGTCCGCGCGGCGCGGCTGCGGCTGGCTGCCCTCCGCCCCCGCAGCAGCGGCAGGGCGGCGGAGCCTGGCCCCCCCCCCCCGAGGGAGGGGCAGCAGCGGCAGGGATGCCATGGGACCCCTGCCAGCATGGCCGGCCCTGCGCTCCGGCCCGCACCGCCAGCCGGACACGGCCGAGCAAGGAGGGAGCGAGGAGGGGGCCGAGGGGAAGGGAGTGAGGAGGCCGAGGGACGCTACCGAGAACAGGAGCAGGACGAGGGGAAGGGCGGCAGCGACTCCCCAGAGGTGCAGCGATGGATGCCGGCCACTCCTGGCACTGCCGGCCGGCCTTCCGCTCCGGCCCGTACCGGCAGCTGGACACGGCCGAAGCGAGGGAGCGAGGAGGAGGCCGAGGGAGAAGCAGAGGCCGAGGACGAGGAGCGAGGACGGAGTGCCTGGTGAGGCTGGTGATGATGGCAACTTGAACAGTCAGAGGCAGCCCCGAGAAGGAGGAAGAGGTGGAGGAGGAGGAGGAAGAAGAGTAAGCGGAGGAGCAAAGGCAGCAGCTGCTGCTGCTGCTGCTGCTCAGCCGAGGAAAGGAAGGATGCCAGCCACGCCAGGAACTGCCAGCCTGCCGCTCGCCCTGCTCAATGGGGCCGGGGATAGGCCGGCACCCAAGGGGATCAGCACCACCACTGCAGATGGGCTGGAGGAGCTCCGAGGAATGGAGCAGGAGGAGGAGGAGGAGGAGGAGGAGGAGGAAGAGGAGGAGGAGGAAGAGGAGGAGGACGAGGCAGCCAAGGCCGTGCCCACGCCCGCAGGACGGCTCCCGTGCTGGCGCTGCCCTCTTTGACTCGAGGTCCCTGTGGGTTGCCGAGGCCCCCGAGTGGAAAGGCGTGTATGCCAGGAAAGCAACGCACCTACCGCACCCTGAGGAAGCGGTGGCGCTGCTGAGGAACCGGGCGCCGCCGCCGACCCTCATCGAGGCCACGACGGCGCTCCCTCCGGCGCAGAGGGAGTGGACGTACGGACTGTGCGATGCGGGACTCCCCACCTTGGGGCGATCGCAGGGGAGGCTGAGCAGGAGGAACCATTGGCAAACATGTCACGACGACGTGTCGTTCGAGGAGTTCTGCAGAAGAGAGATCACGAAACGTGACCTAGTGGCGCAGCAAGACCGGTTCCGTGGACATGCCCTGGTAGCGCTGCCGTACCGGGGCCATGCCGAACGTGGAGTACAGGAAGGACGGCACGCGTGTGACCATGACGCAGTGCCGATGCAAGAGGTGTCTGTTCGTGGTAGCGGGCGCCAAAGTGCTCTCTGGGCAGCTCCGGCACGGGTTCTCCTGCGAACAGAGCCGCCAGCGCACGCTCACGAACGGCAATGCGCGCACGCAGCTGCGGGAGTGGTGGCTTGAAGTGAGGAAGGCTGGGGAGGAGGAGATCCAGAGGAAGCTGGAGTGGGACAAGGAGTTCTTGAATTTCTTGGTGGATGACTGGTGCCCGTCTGTATCGACGTACGCCCCATACAGGAGACGACCAGACAAGGGCGCCGAGGAGTACAGGCAGCAGCAGGCGAAGCCCAGGCAACCACCGGAAAAAGGCGGCAGCCAAAGGTCGCAAGGCCCCGGCAAAGCGCGACGAGGATCAGGAGGAGGAGGCAGAGGAGGCAACGGAGGCCCCGGAGCCGGCGAGGAAGCTGAAGAAAAAGGATGAGGCTCGAAACACCAGCGCAGAGGCAGGAAGAGGTAAGAGGGGGCTGAGGAGGAGGAGGAGATCAGAGGACCAGGAGGCAGAGGAGGAAGGAGGAGGCTGGAGTTCCTTCGGAAGGCAGGAGGACGCAGACGAGGACCAGGAGGAGAAAGCTGATGAGGCACAGGAGGCCGGGGGTCAGGCTAGGAAGCTGAGGAAGAAGGATGCGGCTCCAAGCACCAGCGCAGAGGCAGGAAGAGGTAAGAGGAGGCTGAGGAGACAGAAGGGGATCAGAGGACTCGCGATGAGGCAGAGAAGGAAGGAGGAGGCTGAAGTACCTCCGAGAAGGCAGGAGGATGCAGTGGCGACGGTGAGGAGGTTGTTGGGGCCACCGCAAAAGAAGGCACCAGAGAGGAGGACGAGGCAGAGGCTACTGAGCACGCAGTGGCGGGTGTGCAAGGCTCCCACATCCTGAAAAAGCAGGGGGGGCATGGCTGCAGCCGTGCGCCTCCCGCAGGTGACCGGAGGGTGGCTTCGAATCCTGGAGGAGGATGGAGACGTGGAGCTGCACCCAGGCCCTGCGTCAAGGAAGGGGCGGCCATGGGCCATGGCCTGGACGGTCAACGCGGGATTGTGAGAGACTGCGTGGCAGGCGATGGAGGCGGTGAGCCAGGCAAAGGTGGATGCTGTCTTCTCGCAGGGGGTGGGGCTGACAGGCCAGGATTGCGCGGCGTTCGAGGCCCGCGCGCGCAAGATGGGCTACGTACAGGAGCTACTTCTCAGGAAGCGCCGCGGCCCAATTGGCGAAGCCGCACCAACCAGGCAGACCCACTGGTGGAGTGTATGCACGCTGGTGTCCGAGGCGCTGCGCCCTCGGCAGCTGGACCACATTGTGTGAAGGGGCCCTGGGACACGCAAATGAATGCACACAAATCAAAGTATCCCGATATTTTCCAATATATTTTCTGGGTTTTTGTCTTCCCCCCCACTTCCAATATTTTCCCATATTTTCTGGGGAATCGCCGATTACTTGTGTCTGTGTGTTTTTTCCCCTGCTGATACCAGCCGCCAGGCGAGGCCAGGGACGAGGCTATGTCGTTCGCGTTGGGGCTGCTGGAGACGCTGAGCAGTAAGCACACCTGGTGCACAGCGGGCGACTTCAACGATGAACCCGGGGAGAATCTGCTGCGGGACCTGCTACGGGAAGAAGGAGCGTGTCGTCGCGCGGCAGTGGACGATAGAGGAGGCCGCATTCCGACACGCTGGGAGGGGGGGGGCGCAAGTGCATCGACTATTACATAGCCTCGCACCCGACGTGCTGTGACCAGCCGGAGTTGGAGGACACCTCGTTCAAAGACCACTGGGCTGTTGCTGCCCAGCTGCAGGTGGTCAGGGGCGACAGGGACAAGCGGGAGCCAGATTGCATTCTTGATGGGTCGGCCAACTTGGGCTGCCCTGGGCATGTGGAACAGGAGCGACGGAGTCAGCTGCAGCACTAGGTCTATGCGATCATGGTTCTGCCGAGCCTCCCAGCTATGGAGGAGCCCCGAGACATGGACGCGATGCAGGAGCAGGTGGACGATGTGTGGAGGCAGACGTCTTTCTACCTGGAGCACTTTTTCAGGAGCGCGATGAGGAAAACAATGGACGACACTGGAGAGGAGGCGGAGAGCATCCGAGGTTGGAGCGTCAGGAAAAACACGAAGACATTTCGGTGCCAGAAGCACCAGTTTGGCGAATGTGACGACCCACGCACGTCGGCGCACATCCAGCAGCTGGACAACCTGCGAGGGCGGATGAGGCACATGCAATGGCTGCGGAGGAAGGGCCGCGAGGACGGCGCAGAAGGACGAAAGCTCGAGGAGAAGATCCGCGAAGGGCTGACGAAGCACGGGCTGGTTACGTTGAAGGAGGTCGAGGTGAAGCTGGAGGAGCTCCGAAAGCAGCGGAGGCAGGGCCGCATGGACAGGTGGCGCAACCGCTTGCGAGGATCGCTCAGAGAATGATGCGCCTGGGTGGAATGCGGTCGCACGATTCCACCAACGGGCGTGCACGCGTAGGAGAAGGAGGAGCCCGACTGTGAGGGGCAGGAAAGGAGGACGGGGTGCTAAGGAGGAAAGCGCCACGGAGCAGGAAGGCTCGCACTGCTGGCGCGGCACTGGAGGAAAGTGTGGAGGCGCTAGCTTGCGCCACAGGAGGAATGGCAGCGACTGGTCGAGGACACGTTGCCGCCTGCGTTGGAGGAGTCCTGGCGACCTGTGTGCCACATGGAGCTGCGGTGCGCCATGGGGAGGCTACGGGGATCCGCTCCGGGCGCTGATGGCTGGCATGGAGATGAGCTCGCTTCGCTCTACTGCCCTGCGGTGGTCTCACACCTGGCTGACGTCTTCAATTTCATGCTGGACCAGGGCTGCGTACCCACTGAGTGGCGCAAGGCACGGCAAGTAATGCTCCCGAAGGAGGGCACGGGAAGGAGAAAGAGGGACGGAAGCAACGCCGTGCAGGCGCTGCGGCCCATCACCATCTTGAGCTGCTGGTGGCGCCTGCTCGGCAGCGCGCTGCTGCGGTCACCCGACGCCCAAGCGTGGCAGAAGAAATGGTGGAGGGAGGAGGCTGTGGGTGGACGCAAGGCTGGTGAGGTGGACATGCCGCTCATGAACCTCAGAGCCTCATTGACTCGTACTACAAGGGAGGCTTCACAGCGTCCTACGACCACCCATTGGTTTCCGATCAGTCAGATCCCAGGCTGGAAACTGCAGTGCTAAGGAAGCTCGGATGCCCGCGCGGGGTTGCCGCTATCCTGGAACAGGTGTGGACTGGACAGCTCGGGTACTTGCAATACCGAGGAATCACGCTGCAGCGGCCGGAGAAGGTGGGCACGCCGTTGCCCCCCAAGGCGACCCGTGGTCCATGATAGCTATGGTGGCGGTCCGAAGCCTGCCGATCATGGCCATCGTGGCGCGCTTCCCTGCATCGGAGCTGACCTGCTTCGTGGACGACAGGTCGTGGACGCCCAGCACGGCGCAGGAGCTGCTGGCAGTGGGTGAGGAGTGGAGAAGATTTGGGCGCCCGAGTTACCCCTGATGATTCGGGGCTCTGGACGCCCGAGTTACCCCTGATGATTCGGGGCTCTGAAAGATGGTCACTCGTCTTGGGCCTCGAGGAGAACGAGGCGAAGTCCCAGCACGCGCACAAGGCAGCCGCGGGCAGGCAGCAGCTGCCCGGAGCAGGCGCGCCGCACACCACTGTGACGGACCCTCCAGGGGGTGCTCGGGGCGGGCTTCTGCGAAGGCACAGGGCGCCAAGGGAGGTAGAGGAAGGAGGTACGCCAGGAAGGAGGAGATGAGGCCGACGAGGGCCCAGGTGATGCTCGAAAGGAGTGCGCACCTGCCCGCCTGCGTGAGGATGAAGGAAGCGACGATGGCAGGCAGGGCGCTGGCAGTCGCTGAGTACGGCTGCATCGACAGGCAGACGAACAAGAAGGATGAGACGCAGCTACGGGCGGCGATCGTGAGGGCGAGGAAGGAACCCAGAGCAGGGAGCCCCCACCTCCGGGCATTTCCCGTGGCCGCCGGCCAGGTGTCAGGTGCCGCCTGCCGACCACTGCCCTCGTGGCCGCGCGGCGCACCCTCCGTGAGGACCGGCGGCGGGCCACGCTGGGAACCTGGAGGAGGACGGAAGGATTAGGTCGGGCATGTCCGCGCATTTTGGGCGACAAATAAGAGATGCCCCAAATATGCTCCAATAGAATTCTATACATTTACATATAAGCAAAAAAACAAATAAGCATAATTTTTTATCTTTATATATGTTTGAACATTCCTCCTGAAGAGGGACAGGCCCGACTTCACGGAAGGATGCTCTGGTCGGGTCCATGCCCTCCTGCAAGGCTGCGGCCGGCAGGAACGTGCCGGGTGGGAGCGGGGAGGCGCCCGCGCGATTCTCGGCCTGCGCGGAGGCAGCGCCCGCTGGTCGGAGTGCAGAGGACGCGCCGAGCACGTGCTCCAGGAGGGCTGGCGCGCGAGCCTTCTCGGGAGGTGGACGAACCTCCCTTTAGCAAACCTCCCCTTAGTGAAAACGGCCTGGGACCGAAAGCGATGGACCTGGACCCGCAAGATGACGGCCGCGACGCCCTCTCGCGAACCGAAAACGGCCAATTCCTTAATCGACGTGTCAGGGTAGGAAGTCTGTCCAACCCCGATTTTTGGGAGGTGGCGGGAGCAAAACCGCGTCGATTCGTTCCTGTGCCGGTTCGAGCAGTACGACGAGCGGCGCTGCAGGGCCGCGAGGCTTCTGGCAGAGGGCAGCACGCACGCGGCCAGCGTGATGTCTGGGGCATTCGTCTCGCCGGCGCACCTGCAGGCGGCGAAGGGCAGAGAGGAAGGAGGTGGAGGACGAAGACACGGGCGTGCCGCAGTGGAGGAGCACTGCCCCCGCTGTGGGAGGAGCGAGGCGCCCGACTTCGAGCACGTGGTCTGGCGCTGAGAAGCGGAGACCAGGCCCTTGGGTCGACCGCAGGATGCGCTGCAGCGGCGCCTCCTCTAGCCTCTGGCCGAGTGGCCTGAAACGCAAGGAGGTGGATGGCGGCCGGCTTTGGCATGCGGGCCGTCGACATCAGATAGGAGCGCCACGGAAGGAGGCCGCCCGAGGGCGCTGTCACCACGCCCCCCCGGTAGGAGAGGGCAGGACGAGGAGGTAGAGGAGGTGAGGAGCCAGAGGTAGGGCAGGAAAGGGCTGAGGGATAGGAGGAAGAAGAGGTGGAGGCAGGAAGGAGAAGATTATAAGGGAGGAGGGAAGCTAAGCAATAAAGGAAATACATGTCCCATATGTGCACTGTCATGAAATTGCTGTGTACATCATTCAAGCATGCGCCAGTCCTGCACCTCCTGCGCGTCGACGTGTATCTGCGAGAACGCGCTGAGGACCCCCTCGGGCGCGCCCGGAGCGGCGCCGCGGTGGCCCCAGGCCAACCCTCGAGACCACCCCACGGCCACGACGACGACGACCACGATTACAACGAAAATGATGATGCCTCGGCCTCCCTCGATCTCCGCCTCCACCCCCACCTCGCCCCCCTCCAGAACGTCCGCCGCCGCCATCACCTCCACCTGCATCTCCACCTCCGCCTCCACTTGCACGCCCCCCCTTTCTCTTCACCGCCACCTCCATCTTGGCCTCCACGTCCTCCTCCGCCCCCTCCCCTTCCACCACCGCCTTCACCTGCGCCTCCACCGTCCACACCCGCCTCCCGTCCAGCTCCTCCTCGTCACCAGAGCGAGCGCCGCACCCGACTGACGTCAGGCGCGAGCGACCGTGGGCCGAAGCGTTAAGCGACGCGCCCCGACCAAGACGGCCCAGGAGGCCTCCAAGAGGCACCCAAAAGCGCTCGAGGAGGCAATGTGGCGTCTTCCGAGTGGATGGGTGGGGGGGGAGAAGGCCGACTTAGCCCCTCCCTCACCCCTCCCTTTTGAGCCATGGGGCCCACTGTCGCCCCAAGAGGGCTTCAAGACCCCTCCAAGACCCCTCAAGATCCTCAGAAAGGCCCCGATACCCCCAAAACAATCCCAAGACGGCCCCGAGACAGTCCCAAGATGACCCCAAGCGTGTCCCAAGATAGCCCCAAAAGTCCTCCAATGGCGATCACAACAGAAGATCCGCAAATGCCTCCTCTTCGTCCTTATTCTCCTCCTCTCCCACTCCTCCTCCTCCTCCTCCTCCTCTTCCTCCTCCTCCTCCTCATCATCATCTTCATTACCTCCTCATTCTCCCTGCTCCTCCTGCTCCTCCTCGTCCTTCTCCTGGTCCTCTCCCTCTTTCTGTTCCTCCTCGTTTTCCTCCTCAATCTCCTTTAAACTTCTCATCCGAACAACTCTGATGGGCATCGCACCTGGATGAGCTGGTTGGCATACTTGTTGGTCAAACGCCGGCCGAACACTAGTCGGGCCGCGACTGGGCAGCAGGAAGAGAAAGGCAAGCGAAGCGAGCGAGAGGGCAGCCACTCAGAGCTGGTTGGCATACGCGGAGCGTCAAGAATTATCTGCAGGCTCGAGGAGCGCCAAGCACGTCAAACCACCTCGATCGTCGAACCTCGAAGACGATGACCGCCTGAGGTCTCCAGAGGCCTCCAGATGCCCAGGCAGTACCAGACACGTCCAGGGACCTCGACCCTCGAACCTCAGCAGCGACGCCGACGAGACGACGACGACGACGACGACGACGACGGCGAAGACGGCGGCGACGACGACAAGACGACGACGACGAAGACGACGACGACGAAGACGACGACGACGGCGACGATGACGACGACGACGACGACGACGACGACGACGACGACCGCGGCGGCGGCGTTGGCGTTGGCGGCGGCGACGACGTTGTCGTCAGTTGCCCGTGCGCGCCTTTTCGTCGTCGCAGTCCTCGTAGAGCGACCTGAGCTCTACAAAGGTGCGTCTCGGGACGTCCTCGCCGATCTCCGTCGACCAGGTATCGAAGCCCCTCCCCGTCGCCGTCGCCGTCGCCGTCGTCGACGTCGACGTCGTCGTCGTCGTCGTCGTCGTTGTCGTCGGCGACACCACTGATACTGTTGGCGTCGTCGCCGTCGCCGTAAACAGTGCTGTTGCCGTCGTCGTCGTGCCCCCCTGGGAGTAGAAGGAGGAGAAAGAGGGAGAGAAGAGAGGGGATTTAAACGTACAGCAATGACGCGCATGGAGGGCCACTTGCTTTCAAAATGTAACTTCCGCTTTGGCGCCGCGCGCATCCGCCTGAAACGCTTCTTACGATCGTGCTAGAAGCCGGCAAATTTTCCCAAATGGGGTCCGCGCCTCCGACTCCCTCAAGCAATGCGACCACAAGTGTAGCACATGATGGAAGGCGGCTGCTTTGTCAAAACCAGGCTCTCGTCTGAGATGCTTCTTGGTTGTGTGCCTAATGGTTTCACGCTGTGCAACCGCTAGTGTGCACGGAACCGGGCCGGCTTCTTTTGCGCGTTGCGTAATGGGAGGGTCATAAATGGGGGGGTCGCGAGGGTGGTCCGAAAAGGTACCCAAACGGTACCGAAACGAACCCCCTGGGGCTCCGGAAGGACCCTAGAGGGGGACCGTTTCTGACCTCCCCATTTATGACCCCCATGACGCCACGCCCAATTCTTTACAGAGCAGGGCTCGCCGGGCAATTCCTCAAACTCTAAAGCCCCACCTTACCGCGTCCCTTGCAGCTCGAAATGCGAAAGGCTGTTTCTTTCAAAACGGATATCCCGCCTGAAGCGCGGGCCCATAGGGCGACAATCTTGGATAACGGTTCGCGCAGTGACCAACAACGCTTTAAGGGAGAAATGGGGAGGGGAATTGAGAAGGGAGGGTGTGCTACATCATCGATGCATCTTTGGTTTGCCCTGGTCCTCTTCCTCGTCCTCCGCCTCCTCCTCCTCTTCCTCCTTCATCTCCCGCCTCGCTGTCCTCCCCCTCTCTCCCCCCTCGCTGCGGGGGAAGCCACGTGGACGGCAGGAGCGTCTGACTTATTGGCCAGACGGGCCGCGCAGAGCCTCTGAGGAAAGGGCTGGCCGCGACTTGCAATGTTTTCCGGCTGGCCCCCCGAACTAAGACTGGTCCTCTCTGGGTTGCCTTCGGCTCTCCCAGGGGTGGTCCAGGCTGCCTGAGCATCCATCCAGGAGGAGGAGGAGGAGGAGGGGGAGGAGGAGGAGGAGGAGGAGGAGGAGGAGGAGGAGGAGGAGGAGGAGGAGGATGTCGTTTAGGATGTTCCCCAACCTCGCCCCCGTCCTCGCCCCCCCCTCCTCGCCTGGCCTTGGGTCCTGACTCGGGCCTCTGGCGGCCGCTGGAGACGACCCGGGCACCCCGGGAGCGCCCTCCTGCGAGGTGCACCTGCTTGAAAAAACACACCCCGAGGCTGGCAGACCGCCCCGAGCCGACGAACGTGCCTCCTCCCCCTGCCCCCCCCCCATACCCCCGACGCCGTTGCACGACGCGGACCCTGGAACCTCTGGAGGCCCGACCGTCAGAAAAAACGGCTCGGGAGGCATCGGCTACGCGTAGTGTCTGAGGCGCCGCGAACCGACGAACGTGCCTCGTCCCCCTGCCCCCCCCCCATACAGTCGGGGCCTTGACCTAAGGAACCCTAAATAAGGAACGAGGCCTCTTTTTTCCATAAGTTCACCTTCGATCTCCGATCGAAAGCCTAAGGGAAGCCTGAGGCAGGCTGCGAAACACTTGAGGACCACGGAGCCCCTCCCCAACGAAAAGGGTTCCCTCTTCAGGGCCCCGACTGTACCTCCGACGCCGCTTCGCGACGCGGGCCCCGGAACTCCCCATCCCCGGAGCCCGTGACGTCGTCGAAGGGCAGCGCGTGGCCCGTTGGTGCCCGAGACAGGCCTCCGAAAGCCCAGCGCTGGCTTCTGACACCGCGCGGATCGTGCAAACTCATCGATCGGAGGCTCTTCGAATTGAGCAGGGACCGACCGTCCCGGCATTCCTATACAGTCGGGGCGTTGACCTAAGGAACCCTATATAAGAAACGAGGCCTCTTTTTTTCTATCAGTTAAACTTCGATTTCCGATCGAAAACATAAGGAAAACCTGAGGCAAGCTGTGAAACACTTAAGGAACGTGGAGCCTCCCCAACCAAAAGGGTTCCTTCTTCAGGGCCCCGACTGTAGTCCTACCACGAAATGTTCTTAGAACCCAGAAGTGTTCTAAGAACAGAAACAAGATTCTCAGAACATCAACCCGATGTGAGGAAGCAAGGCAGTCCCCGCCAGAGATGTTCTAGGGACCTTGCGTGGGAACCACAGAAGGTTCTTAGAACATTGTCTGGTGGGGCTATAGGCACGCCAAGACGCTTCGCCACTGCTTGATCGAACATCAGATCGTCTCATATTTCGGGGATCTTCTGACCCGGGTCAATCCAGACCCGGGTCAGCAGGAAACCAAAAACTGCAATGCAGGAAAAAAACAACTGCAACGCAGGTCTTCGCAGACCCGGGTCAGCCAATAGGCGCGGCCGCCTCGCGGCCACGAGCGGCTCGCTAACCCGGGTCAGCCGGAGGGGGTCTTCGCAGGATCCTGCAGGATCTGGCGCCCTGGCTGACCCCCGTCTGCACTGACCCCCGTCTCGAGGCTCCCGAAGTATTGGCCGATGCTGGGCCCCCGGCGGCGCTCGACCCCGAGAGCCCGCGGCGGGGTCGCCGCCGCGTCGGCACGACACGAGCCTGCCGCAGATGACGTGGGGCCCACCCCCTCTCCCGCCCCCGAGGAGGGGGAGGGAGGAGGAGGAGGAGGAGGAGGAGGAGGAGGAGGAGGAGGAGGAGGAGGAGGAAGAACGGGAGGAGGAGGAGGAAGAGGAGGAGGAGGAGGAGGAGGAGGAGGAGGAGGAGGAGGAGGAGGAGGGAGGAGGGAGGTGGGAGGTGGGAGGAGGGAAGGAGGACGAGGAAGGAGGAGGACCTCCGCCGCATGCCCCTCCTCCCTATCCCCGCCCGAGGGTCTGCTTCTCGCGGGCGTTGGCCATCACCACGAACTCGGCCTGCTGGCCCTCGGCCTGCACACGACGACAGCGAACTACGAGGTCGACGACGAAGACGACAAATCCAAATCCCCCCAACTCCTCCTCCTCCTCCTCCTCCAGATGTAGATCATTAGAGGGGGAAGGATTTGTCCGCCCCTGTTTGGCCGCAACGGTCTTGACCGATGCGGTTATCTCTGGCTGAAGGCAGTCGGATGTAAGCAACACTGCCGCTGTAAATGTGGCTCGCATTGGTCATCTGACATGCTGAACTGACAGATGCGTCGTCGCTAAACAAAATGTTCCACCGGGAGAGACACCGGAGCAAGCATCCGATCCCCCAGGACCCACCGTTCGGTGCACATGGGAAGTCCGTAAGCGGGCAACCTCACCTTGCCGCACCAGTGCCATCGGTTGGGCATTAAGCAGGTGCTGGCCACCTGCTGCTGATGGACGTATTTAGCCCGCTAACCCCAGAAGGCCCACCGCGGGTCTGGGCACCCTGAGGCCTAGAGGAACGCAGCTTGGGAATATCTCCGCATGTTTGGGCGCCCACTCGCCTATAGCGGGTTCAATGAGTCCCCTTCTCGCGCGTGCACGCTTGCAACAGACACGCGAAAATCCGCCACGGTGCCTCGAGGCACGAAGTGGAGCTACCCCAAGGCTCTCATGTGTTCTCTGTTCTCTGTGCTCAGGACTGGGGGAGTCTAGTATTCTGACAGCTGGGGCACGAAATTCTCAAGTTACCTGGGCGCTCCTGCGCGCTCCTGGGCTGCCTCGCATGACTTTTCCAAAGGCCAGGGGGCCTCAGGACGGGCCAAGAGGGCCCCAGAAAGCGCCCAAGAGGCCTCCAAGACAGCCCAATAGCGCGTCAAGACGCCCACGATGGCGCCAAGACGGCCCAAGAGGCCCCAAAGAAGTCCCAAGAGCGCTCCAAGAGGGCCCAAAGAGGCACTAATGATTGATAATCCTTGTGTTTTTGTTATGTTTTTCGCGTTCTCGCGTTGTCAGGCGCCTGGCGCTCCAAGATGGCCCCGGAGGCCCCCAAGACCGCCCCAAGACGGCCCAAGAGGCCCCCAAGAGGGCCCTAAGACGGTCCAAGAGGGCTCCCAAACGGCCCAAGAGGCGCTCAAGAACACCCAAGAGAGCCCCGAGAAGGGCCAAGAGAGGACACACAAACCGACAATTCAAACCGTCCGCCCCAAGAGGCCCCCAGGAGGCCTCAAGAGGGCCGCAAGAGAGCCCAAGAGGCCCCCTAGATGCCCCACGAGGCCCCCAAGAGGCCCAAAAGGAGGCCCCCAAACGGCCTCCAAGAGGCCTCAGAACTGCTTCCAAGAGGCCCTCGAGAGGCCTCCCACGATATCCACACGAACATCCAAGAGGCCTCTAACCCACAAGCCAGGCACGGTGGCGGGAAGGGCCGAAGGCCACTAGATCCGCCGCCCCCTGCTTGCAGGGGTGCACGGCGTGCTGGATGTTTCAGGTTTTGGTTTTGGTTCTTTTTCCAAAAGAACTCCCCAGTGGGCTCCGGCCCGTCCCGCCGGGGTCCCGGGAGGAAGCCGAAAACACCTCAATCCGGAAAACAATCCTCCAAAAACGGCCGTTTCGCTCGGGACATCCTCAACAAATCGCGAAGATGGCCCAAGATGGCCTCCAAGTCCGCCCGAGATGGTCCAAGACGGCCTCCAAAACGGCCCAAGAGAGTCCAAGACGGCCCAAGACGGCCCAAGAGGCCCCCCAGAGGCCTCCCAGACGGCCCAAGAGGCCTCCAAGAGGTCCTCCAGGAGAGTCCGAAGAGGCCAAAATCATTGATTTTCCATTGGTTTTTGAAGGATTTTGGCATTTGCGCCTTTTCGGCTCTCCGACGGCTCAAGACGGCCCAAGAAGCCCCCAAGATCGCCCAAGAGGCCCCCAAGAGAGCCCCTGATGGCCCAAGTGGCCTCCAAGATGGCCCCTAGAGGGCCCCAAGACGGCCCAAGAGGCCTCCAACACGCCCAAGATGGCCTCCAAGACGCCCAAGATGGCCTCCAAGACGGCCCTGGAGCGCCCCAAGAGGGTCCCCCGTTGGCCCAGAAAGGCCCCCAAAACGGCTCCCGACGGCGTCAGACGTGCCAGGAACCCACCAAGATGGCCGAAGTTGGCTCGAAGCTGGCCCAAAAGGGCCCAAGAGGCCCCCAAGAGGCCTCCAGGAAGGCCAAAAGATGCCAAAATCACTGATTTTCCCAAGGTTTTTGCTGGATTTGGGCATTTCCCTTTTTTCGGCCTTCCGACGGCCCGAGACGGCCCAAGAGCCCCCAAAGATCGCCGAAAGATCGCCCAAGAGGCCTCCAAGACGGCGACGATGACCATCAAGACGCCCACGTGTTCCCCGAAGGCTTTCCAAACCGATTCGGGGAACACATGGTCCGATGGCTTGGCAGGTCTGGCCTCAACGTTCGGCCACATAGGCGCTTCCACAAAGGCAGGGGGCGGCGGTGATTCGCCGTAGGCGTCTTCGATCCGCCGCCCCCTGTCGATTCATCGCAGGGGTGCCTGGCGTGCTGGACCTCTCGGTTTTGGATTCGGTTCTTTTTCCCAAAGAACTCCCCCTGGCGCTTCGGCCCGTCCCGCCGGCCGCCCCCAAGACCCGCAAGACGCACACGCCATCGCCCAATCCCAATTCTTCCTCCAAGACGGCCCAACATGGCCTCCAGGATGGTCACGTTGGCCCAAGTTGGCGTCAAAGATGGTCCAAGATAGCCTCCAAGTCCGCCCAAGATGGTCCAAGACGGCCTCGAAGACGGCCCAAGAGAGTCCAAGACGGCCCAAGACGGCCCAAGAGGCCCCCCAGAGGCCTCCCAGACGGCCCAAGAGGCCTCCAAAAGGTCCTCCAGGAGGGCCCGAAGAGGCTGAAATCATTGATATTTCCTAAGTTTTTGAAGGAGTTTGGAATTTGCTTCTTCTTTGCATTCCGACTGCTCAAGACGGCCCAAGAGGCACCCAAGATCGCCCAAGAGGCCCCCAATAGGGCCCCATGACGGCCCAGGTGGCCTCCAAGACAACCCCAAGAGAGCCCAAGAGACCAACAAGACGTCCTCCAAGAAGGCCCGAAAGGGCCAAGACGTCCTCCAAGAAGACCTTCAAGATGCCCACGTGTTCCCCGAAGGCTTTCCAAACCGATTCGGGGAACACATGGTCCGATAGCTTGGCAGGTCTGGCCTCAACGTTCGGCCACATAGGCGCTTCCACAAAGGAAGGGGGCGGCGGTGATTCGCCGTAGGCGTCTTCGATCCGCCGCCCCCTGCCGATTCATCGCAGGGGTGCCTGGCGTGCTGGACCCTCTCGGTTTTGGTTTTGGTTCTTTTTCCAGAAGAACTCCCCCTGGGGCTTCGGCCCGTCCCGCCGACCACCCGGGAGGCCTGCCCAGGAGCACAAACTCCACGAACAATCCTCCCTGAAACGGCCGTTTCGCTCGGGACATCCTCAACAAATCGCGAAGGTGGCCCAAGATGGCCTCCAAGTCCGCCCAAGATGGTCCATGACGGCCTCCAAGACGGCCCAAGAGAGTCCAAGACGGCCCAAGACGGCCCAAGAGGCCCCCAAGATCATCCAAGAGGCCCCCAAGAGGGCCCCATGACGGCCCAAGTGGCCTCCAAGATGGCCCCAAGAGGGCCCCAAGACGGCCCAAGAGGCCTCCAACACGCCCAAGATGGCCTCCAAGACGCCCACGATGGCCTCCAAGACGGCCCCGAAGCGCCCCAAGAGGGTCCCCAGTTGGCCCAGAAAGGCCCCAAGCGTCAGACGTGCCCGAAACCCACCAAGATGGCCGAAGTTGGCTCGAAGCTGGCCCAAGAAGGCCCAAGAGGCCCCCAAGAGGGCCTCCAGGAAGTCCAAGATGGACCAAGATAGCCTCGAAGACGGCCCAAGAGAGTCCAAGACGGCCCAAGACGGCCCAAGAGGCCCCCCAGAGGCCTCCACGACGGCCCAGGAGGCCTCCAAGAGGTCCTCTAGGAGAGCCCGGAGAAGCCAAAATCATTGATGGTCCTCAGGTTTTTGAAGGATGTTTGATTTCGCCGCTTCTCGGCTTTCCGACGACCCAAGACGGCCCAAGAGGCCCGCAAGATCGCCCCCACAGCGCCCAAGAGGCCTCCAAGATTGCCTCAGGACTGCCCAAGAGGCCCCCAAGACGGCCCCAAGAGGGCACAAAGACGACCCAAGAGCCCTCTAAGACGCCCAAGACCAGGAGGCCTCTAAGACGCCCAAGATGGCCTCCAAGACGGCCCTGGAGCATTCCAAGAGGGCCCCAAATCGGCTCAGAGAGGCCCCCCAAACGGCTTCCGACGGCGTCGGACGGGCCAGGGGCCCACTAAGACGGCCGAAGATGGCACTAAGATGGCCCAAGACGGCCCAAGAGGCCTCCACCAGGGCCTCCAGGAAGGCCCGAAGAGGCCCAAATCATTGATTTCCCATAAGTTGCTTGAAGGATTGTGGCATTTGCTTCGTTTCGGCCTTCCGACGGCCGGAGACGGCCCAAGTGCCCCCAAAGATCGCCCAAGAGGCCCAAGACGGCCCCAAGAGGCCCCCAAGACGGCCGAAGAGGCCTCCAAGACGCTCAAGATGACCTCCAAGACTGCCCAAGAGCCCTCCAAGACGTCCTCCAAGAAGGCCCGAAAAGGTCAAAATGGCCTCCAGGCGGCCAAGATGATCTTCAAGATGTCACGTGTTTCCCGAAGGCTTTCCAAACCGATTCGAGGAACACATGTTCCGATAACTTGGCAGGTCTGGCCTCCACGTTCGGCCACATAGGCACTTCCACAAAGGAAGGGGGCGGCGGTGATTCGCCGTAGGCGTCTTCGATCCGCCGCCCCCTTTCGATTCATCACAAAGGTGCCTGGCGTGCTGGATCCTTTCGGTTTTGGTTTTGGTTCTTTTTCCAAAAGAACTCCCCCTGGGGCTTCGGCCCGTCCCGCCGACCACCCGGAAAGATTGCCCCGTTTGCCCAGAGCCGGTTCCAAAGGGTTCCCTGCTCCAGACGGCTCCAAGACGGCCCAAGATTG